CAAAATGTCCGTCTTACATTAACATTAAAGATGGCGCAGGGAAAACAACGAGCAAGGACTCTGTATGTATGTATGCGTGTGGCCTAAGGGGATATAGAACCACGCACTTATGCACGGTACACAGAGAAGAAAAAACAAAGGAAATCAAACTTACAAATTCTCTTTATTCACTGTGCCTGAATACTTATGTTTTTGAAAAAGGTAAAGCTATTCCTGTGGCTTTCGGGTACACTGCACATTTTTTCTTCTGAATACTATTTCGTTGTTAGCCCATCTACTCGTCAGCTGCTGCCATCTGCACCTCAAAGTATTTCGAAATCTGCAGCTGCATTTTCAGTATTCTTACTTTTAGTTGTTGTAAAAAGTTAAAGCTAACCCTGTAACAGGCCGTGGAGGCCCATCGGGTTGTGAGACGGCAAGACGCCCACATTTTCTCTAAACAATCAGTTAACAGATGGAGGTGAGGTTGTCCCTTCCCCCCCCCCCCCCCCCTCCAGGAAGATTCCTGGTACTCTTTTCTGTTACAGGCTGAGTGGACCCCAGGGCCATAGTGTGACTGGAAGAATTAGGCAAACTGAAAAAAATCCAGTTACCTCATGGGGAATGAAACCCGCGACCTTCGCCTTGTAGCATAGTGCCTCAACCAACTACTCTACCGCTTGCCCCAAATACTTACATTTTATTTACAGAAATTATGTGTTGTTGTTGTTATTATTGTTGATAAGAACTTACAAGCATAAGGATGAGGTAGTATGTTGAAAAAATTTCATAAACACCTGTCAGTTGATTAAAATATTGTTATTAAGAACCAGACATCCGGACACACAAGCGTGAATTTACCGCACCATAAGCCTGAACCAGACATCCGGACACACAAGCGTGAATTTACCGTACCATAAGCCTGAACCAGACATCCGGACACACAAGCGTGAATTTACCGCACCATAAGCCTGAGCCTCCTTTTCCTTAAGTAAAGTAAGTTGTAATTGAATTTGATTTGATGACTTCTAATAGTATTGATGGAAAGGTGTCCCTCTGAAGATGATCCCTGAAGACCGAAACATGTAAGGGCATGAACAATTGAAATAAGATCTTAACCAGTCACACTGGACGAACTACTTAACTTTTTCATAAGTACTTGTTATGATTCAGGAAGTACACATGTTGCCCGCCATCTGAAACCTCGGCCAGTATATAACGTGCTCGTATGGTCCAGTGGTCACACAGATATCAAGCTGCTAGGAATGTATAAGTGAAAGGACGGTACTTCGTGCCTGTCGCTTTCAAACCGACTGCCTCGAGACTAGCTCTATATTTTCCAGTCAGACAGCTTTTTGTGCAGTGCACTGCACGAATGTAGACATAACAGGGAAGTATGCTCGCATGTAGTTCGCTAATCCTCAGGTTTCATTACTAAGTTTATTCTGACAGGAATTTATAATTCTGGTTCATTTCAGACGACACTGCGTGAAGTGCAGGTCGAGCTTCATCAGTTTTTTTCGGTGAACAATCCTCAAACAAAGGGGGAATTCCAGACAGAATTCGTAAAGCTCATTTTCTTGTGGCACAGACTTTCATTTTTAGATCGTAAGTATATCGTCTACAATGCAACAGTAATGTCATATGAAGGACACTAAACTATATTTAATACACTAAAAGTGCTTGTTAAATACTTTAAAATTTTATTCAAATTATATATTCATTCCTTGTTGCAACATGTTTCGGCCACACATGGACCATCATTAGGCAACATTGTTTTGTTATTGGGGAGACCGCTGCACTGTACAACCTGTCTTCTGTGCCCTTAGGCATATCGTTTTTGTTATTGGTTTCCTTCGTAGAATACTTCCATTGCATCTTTTCTGACGGCTTTTTCGGTGTTTGTATGTCATTTAATTTGTTGTGTATGCTTTTAATGCTGCCTTCCCTTATACAAGGAAGACAGTCAAAAAAATTGCGACTGACCGTCAGTCAGTTAATAAGTCTTGGTGTCGAGTCCCATCTGGGGCTTATGACCAGATATTTATTACTGTCTGACAGTTACGGTCTTGTCTTTGTGGGGCGCTCTCTCTGACCAGAGGACGGGTCTGCTTTTTGTATATTCTGCTGGCTTTGCCAGCGCAGTCTTTCTCGGGTCCGAGTCCCTTGGGACTCGCGACCATATTTTACTGTCTCAGATTTGAGACTTCCCTTTCCTTCGCTTCCTACGACATGAAGAGTCACGGTGGAGGTATTCGACTCCGCCTCTACACGTATAAACTCTCTTATAATTGCATCTGGCCCCCGTTATACAGACTCGTCACGGACCGCACAGTGAACACCACTTCCAGCAGCTCTTCTATTATTTCGTGCATGTCTCTTGTGGTCATTACATTGCAACAGTCTTTGTTTACATAGCCATTACTTAGCAACGGCTATTGTATAGCTGCTGATTTCTCGGTCGTTACGCAGCAATGGGTCTGCATGTCATAATATTTACAAACGCAGTCTAAGGCTATTATTAACTGCGACCGGTCGAACAGTGGGAGCGTGGAACCGAGTCCTAATCGAGGCATGGTTGTAGTGTATATCTGCGTTTCTTCTGTGTTATTCCGTGAAGATATGCACGTACAAGCCTTGCCATGGACCGTTCCCCATTCCAAGGTGCGGTGCAAAATGTACATGGATTCAGTGTTTTAGAAGTTAAGTCTGAATTGGGGCAGACCAGAGGGTCCATTTTTTAAAAAAGATCGTATTTACTAGCGTAAATGACTCGTTGAAAAATTAACTGGAAGTCCCTCATTAACCTTCTTCATCTGCGACTGAATGACACTCATAGTCAATTACAAACCGTCACCTATTTTTGGAGTAACTTATTATTATTGAACACCTACACCGTATGAGTACGGATTTCGTCGTAGCCTTACAAATTTTGATTAAAACCTTTCTGCACTCGGTGTATATGTAATGCTATCAGATAAAAGGGGGAAATTCTGATTGTGCAGTGTGATTAGCTCTATCTCTTCAGGGCGCAGCGTATTCCTTGAAAATCAAATGATCGCACAGTTATTCAGGAATTTTATGGAACCCGAAGGTTCATTACCGTGTTCACCAGTGTCCGTCTCAGGGTCGTGTCCTGAACTAGGTGAATCTAATCCCCTGTTTTTTAAATATCCAATTAATATCCATCTGACGGTCACGGTAGCCGAGCGGCCTAAAACATGCACTGTCTTCGGTCACTCGGAAGCCCGGATCGTGGGTTCGAATCCCACTCAGGGCATTGATGTTTGGTGTGTGTGTGTGTTTCTGTGTTTGTGTACAGGTAGAGGCCTTGCGACGAGCTGATCACTCTCCTAAGGAGTCCTACCGAATGTCTAAAATCTAGTAAGCCGAAGTGAAACGGAGAGTTTCATGGAGGTAGGGCAAGGCACAAATTGGGGCTGTAGCACCAAAGATGGGGGAAAAAAAAAACATCTACATATGCGTAAATCTCCAAAAACGCTTGTACAAAAAAATAAGTGAAACTGATATTATAGTCTTCATTCGACTATTTTATCCTATGAAAACTGAAAATTTCAAATTATTAAGTGCACATTTAGACAAGGAACATCTTAAATTTTTGTCAGTGCTGTTCAAAATTCAGTTCCTGTATGCAAAATCACAGATATAATTGTCAGCTTTATTGATGAAAGCACTAACACCAACATTACAGCACTAGAACATCCTACAAAATACTGACGAAAGGCGCGCAGTGTAAAGAACGATACTTCAGTAGGATACATAGCATATCGTTTTTGTATCTTGAATGACGGAGACAAGTACTCGCAGTACTACACGTGCAGCTGATCTTATATAATATACGTAAACTGAGATGTTTTTTTAAATGACAGACTCAATCATATTGGCAATGAGCAGTGAAAACTGAATCATGTCGCTTAGTATATCGTACTGTCAAATTTGCATTGGCTCTAGGAGGCAGTTGTGTTGTCACTAGTGCTGCAAATATCCTTTCTTGTTGAGGAGAAGCAGAATAACGCCAACCACATAAATGGCATTGGAAGTATTTAAACCCATTTTAATAATTCCAACACAAGGAAACATTATGATTGGAAAGTAGGCCTATTCGAAATTATTCTTTCCAAGAATTTGAACAATTCCAGTTTAAATATATTACATAAAGACAATCACATTTCGGATTTGTAATTTTGATAGAAATTCGAAATAAACGAAGCTCCGTTTGGGAAATATTGTCGCTTGTCATTGAAAACATCTGGCCTTATGAAAATGTACCTATTTTACCTATGTTTACTCTGCCTTTATCCATGAAAGACAGTCCATTTGACAGTGTAATATTTCTTCAAACATTTAAATTAGTTTAAAAGTAGGGATATTTTTCTGCAGTTTATTCCCTGGAACAAGAATACAAAAATGATTAGATATATTGTAAGGCATTCCTTTCAAAAGTGTGGAGCCAATCATCGTCAGATTTGAAAAATCCGCAAAACGATTTCTGTGTCAGTTCAGGAGAAACGTAGTACAGTATTAGCACACATTTTTGTAATTGGTGTTTCCAGACTTTCGACTAAAAGAATCCTTTTTGAAGATGGACACACTTATATCCGGTAACAGAAGCCAAAGTTTTCAACGCCGCCAGTACCGAAGTCTACCAATCCTACCCTCACAGGATATTTCTCAAAAATCTGGTTCCAGCTTCTCGTCATTCAAAGTAACTGCTTCCCTAGGGTTTCCGCAAAGAGGAAGTGTTTCTGCATGTCCAGTCCATCACTCTTGATACAGTTATCCGTGTAAATGACTTCCTGCTCCCTGGGACAAGGCACTGAGATAAGGGACAGCCCCTTACGTACGAAATGTCTGGTGTATTTTTTTTTTTTTGTCTAGGCTTCTCTTTGTGCTCAGAATGATGCGACATGTAATGTTCAATAGGTAAAGAATCACGCGAACCACGGATGGTGTCGTACCTCTGGTACCGCAGAGTCCATTGCTGCTGCGCATGCTCACATAAGTCAGTAGAAGAGTCAGACGTATGCTTCTTTTCGCTTCTTTTCTTGTTGTTTGTGTGTATTGATGGAAGAGCAAGCAGAGGTTGGGTGATTTCTAGTGAAGGTTATCTACATATTCCAATAAGTTTTTCATCATGTAAACTCTCGTGAAGCGTCCTTGAGCAGCGCGTGTTAACCATTACATTACGTGGCGTGATGTTCTTTTGTTCCAGTCTTGTAATTGCTGTGGTAGTGGAATGTTGTGTTGCTCAGCTGGAGAGTGTCGCGATAAGTAGCTTGTGTTTCGTGCCACAGAAATGACAACAGAAGAAAAATTCCGTGCTGCAGTGAATGTTATAAGAAATTTACCCAAAAATGGTGAGTAGGTTATTTGAAATAGTATTTTAGCTGCGCTGTCAACACCCGACAAGAAAGTGGAAGACGCGCTGTCATATACAGGATCTAGGCTTGTATGTGAAAGACATGAGACCGCATTCGCATTTTAAGAGTCATAGTGTTTAAACTATATTAATACGATAATTCGAAAAATGAAATATAGCGTTGCGTCTGTTCTTGGGGATGTTTGTTGTCATGTACGTTATATTGACTGTTTTAGCCTCTAATTAACGGCTCGTTAACACATTTAATTATTGTTTTTGATTATAAATAGTTTTGGACACATGTATGATTAATTATATTTTAATGTTGTTAACATTTTCATACGAGTATGTTTGGTTGTTTACTGAAATATTGCAGTGAATAGGTGTGGTGTAGAGTTTGTGCTCATGATGTATGTGTTATACTTAAATGACGTAAAGTTATCGTGATAATAATCATCAACACAAATACAAATATTACCAGTTATTATTATCATCATGACTATTAGAACTTTGGTGCTGTACTGCAGTCTTGAAACAAGACATACTTTATATAGTTTTATATACTGATAGCCTCCCAAAGTAAAGCAAAAATAAAAATACATGGCTAAATTAATGTACTCTCACTTTCAGTTTACATATTCAGGAATGAAAGGCCCTACTCATCCAAATTGTCTGCCAGCCAGATTATTCACACCTTTACCTTTTCTTCATTACTGCTATCTAAGAGTTGGGGATGCTGTGTGAATGTGTGAATTTTGATAGTCATCGATGTCATTCTGTTGCCACAGAGGGTTATTCTGTATTGATAGGGATTAATGCTGCTGTTTAACTTGTAGTGTTCAAACATAAAAAAATAACAACTTGTCATCAAACTGAAACACAAGAGATGAAAACTGTTAATATGTGTAACAAACCTCAAGGATCAGTTACCACATATAGCAAAATCATATACTCATCATTTCAGCATGTAGATGAAAGTTTCAGGGTAATTTGGTGGAAAGACAAACAGAACAAAAACATTTTATGTAACATGTAAGAAATAATTTTGCTTGTGGTTCTGTATGGGTGTGAAACTTTGTCTCTGACATTAAGGGAGGAACATAGGCTGAGGGTGTTTGAGAACAGGGTGTTGAGGAGAATATTTGGACCGAAGAGATGAAGTGACAGGAGGTTGGAGAAAACTGCATAACGAGGAGCTTCATAACTTGTACTCTTCTCCAAATGTAATTAGAATGATCAAGTCAAGGAGGATGAGGTGGGCAGGGCATGTAGCATGAATGGGGAGGAGAGGAATGCATATAGGATATTGGTGGGAAAGTCAGAAGGAAAGAGACTACTGGAAAGACCAAGGTGTAGGTGGCTGGACAATATTAAAATGGATCTTAGAAACATAGGATGGGATGGTATGGGTTGGATTGATCTGGCTCAGGATAGGGACCAGCGGAGGGCTCTTGTGAATGCGGTAATGAACCTTCGGGTTCCATAAAATGGTGAGAAATTCTTGAGTAGCTGCAGAATTGGCATGTCCTCAAGAAGGGCTCAGCTCCATAAGTAACTAAGTAAGTAAGTAAGCAATAGACAGTGTAACAGATGCAAAAAATGTGTGTATGTGTATGTATGTATATATATATAAGCTGGATATTTTAATTCATTAATAGATTCATTTTCAGCTGTTGAGTTCAAAAATATAACATGTAACTGATATTTGCATGTTGTAAGTGAGAACAGCATAGTTGATAAGTAGGTAATGGTGCCAATATTACAAATGTTTGCTGATGTCTCATGCAAGTACATTGCATTCTGTTAGGCTGGGTTGTCAGGCAGAAAACAGGTTATATGGTAACTTGAAGCATGAAGGAAACTAATGTTCTTGATAGGACTGATCATTTCCTTATGAAATGGGAGTCTGTAGTTAGATTTCTCAGAATTCAATGCAGAAAGATTTTAATATGATGCAGGAATAAGATACCAGATAGCAAGCATTACAAGAGACTGTTGAACATGTAAGAATGTTGTGTGCACGAAGTTAAAGAAATCTTTTGGTATCCCAGAAAGAGTAGATTTGCAAATTTTATTTCATATGAAACTTACTTACTTACTTACAGAGCTGAGCTCGTCTGGAGGAGCTGCAAATTATGCAGCTGCTCAAGAATTTCCCAGCATTTTATGAAACTCAAAGGTTCATTACCGTGTTCACAAGAGCCCTCCACTGGTCCTTAGTCTGTGCCAGATCAATCCAATCCATATCATCCCATACTATCTTTCTAAGATCCATTTTAATATTGTCCACCCACCTACGCCTTGGTCTTCCCAGTGGTCTCTTTCCTTCTGACTTTCCCACCAATATCCTATATGCATGGCTAATGAGGACCTCATGAACAATAGCTTCGATAGTTATGCGCCTGTCAGATAGGATCAAAGCTTTCCACCTGTGCCACAATTCCCGGTTCCTCAGCAAAAGATCTTCCACTTCCGGGTTCAACTTCGAGGTTTGTCTGTCCACAATGAAAGTGCCTCTTCCACCTGACTACTGTGTCATATGATGGTACACCTTCCTGATACACAGCGGTCATCTGGTCATGGATCTCCCTGGTAGACTTCCCTTGCAAATGCAGGAACCATATTACAGCACGAGCCACCACTTTCTCAACCAATGTCGCCATTTTGCTTCTGTCCCTTCCTGTGGCTCCCTCTCTCCACTTGGCGTGGGAAAATTTGACTGTTCGGCAAGCTCAGGAAATGGGCTATCTCCTATATGGAATAATATTTTGAAATTGTGATTTTCTTATGGTGATAATTAAAACATTATGACTTCCCATCATATATAGATGGATCCTATCAGCATTTGAGAATTGTGATAAATTTCAAGTCGTACATAATTATTATTTTCAATTGTGAAATTATGAAGGCACGAGTTTTACTATATAAATTTATAAACACGTTTTTATATTTTCAAATGAAATGTCTGAATGTATTGATGACAGTAGATTTATGTACTCTAAAATATCAAAGATGTAACGATATCCTTGCTGATCCATTTCGAATGTGATAATGAGCCTCCATGTTCAATAAAAGACGGGAATGTCTTGACCAATGAGTGACTGTCAACATCATAGGAAGACCTGTGCTTTGTGGATTTTATGTAGGGCCCAGATGAAGTGGATGCAGACACCCGAGCTGGGAAGTTACTATTTTTCCGTGGGTATCACAATGTTTGTGTGCCTGCATGCCGAAACGGAATCAAAGTATGTGCAGTCACCTATTCGAAAGTGAAATTAGTAGACGTAACGAGATTCCTGTAGTGAGTGGACTGGTTCAGTGTCCCTAATTTGGCTGCCACACAGGTTATGGGCTTGCTACCAGGTCAAGTTGGCATATACAGAGAGATCAATAATTACAGCTGTCCAGCGATATGATTTTCGTTCTTTAACTCTTTAAAGCTCAGTGTTTACTATATGTGCCACTTGCTTGAACATTAATAAAGTCAACACTTTGCTCACTGAGTGTAAAAGGTAAAGGTAAATTTGTCCCTGTGCTCAACTAAGCACCTCGTCATGAATGCGTATGGGGTAGTGGAGTGTATTCTTATGTTTGTAACAAATAGTGATTCCTTAAACACAGCAGGCTGCTCCTTCTAATGGAGATTTGGTGTATTTGTTGTGAGATGGAAACTGTCGTTTTAAACATAGTTATGAATTTTATGTTGGATGATTATTCGGGGGCTTCCCAGAATCTGATGTGTATTGTTTGAGCCCTGCAAACTGTGGCCTCTTCTGCTTTTCAGGGGAACTTATTTTGAGCCTTGCTGAGCCTGAATGGCAATGCATGACTTGCTCTTGTAGCAAAAGATTGAAACGTCTAGAGTACTTGTAACGTGCCACCGTTTAGGCCGACATACACGTATGAAACTGATGAAGAATTTCTGAGACTAATACTTTTCACATTAATGGTTATTAACTGGTGAATCTGGGGAGTAGGACAGCCACATGAAGTTTCTGAGTACATATGCCCTGAAAATGAATGTGTGGTGTGGATTTCTGCATGGTCATGTAGTAGGATGTTTCTTTTTTTGCAGAAAACGCCATTAAGGGAAACATTTATCTTGACATGGTTGAATTATTTGCTTTTTCATGAAGTGAAGCCATTGCACATATAAAGAATAAACTGCATTTGTTTTCCTGCATGATGAGGATCCACCATATCTAACTTCTGAGGTTCAGTTCAGGCTCTGAATGCGAGGTTTCGCAATCACTAGATTCGAAGAAGTGGATCATTGACCTGGCCTCTGAGAAGTCCAGATCATGCACTTCAAGTATTATTTTCATGTGGTGATATGCAAAGAAACATTGCGTATACAGAGAAAATCCGTGATTTATATCACCTGTGAGAGGGAATTTATGCTGCTGTAACAACATTTACTCCAGACATACTTTGATATAACAACTCAGTACCACTTGAATGTCTTAGGCCTGCACTAGTGCTCACATTGAGGCTCTCTGTTAAGGAGAGAGAAAACTTTGAGACTTCCTCCAGATATACAGGGTATTTCACGACTTTAGGGCATAACTGCAGGAGGTGATTTCCTAGGTCTTTGTGACCAAAGAAGTTCATATAAACATGTGTCCGATTTTGGACGGTTATGGAGTTATGACCGTTTTTCATTCCCGTACACGCCCTCATATGAACCGTGTCTGTCATCTGGCAGGTCGCAATTTTTAGCCAGCTACAGACAGGGCGTTCTCGTTATCTCGACAGATGAGAGCTACCTAAGGCGGGGTGGGTTGGTATGTCCGGCACGGTTCACAACCGAGCGGCAGCCTGTGTTGCGGCCGGCGGTGGCATTTTCGAAAATCAGCTTTAAGCACCAATCATTTCAAATTAAAGGTAATTTCACGAAGTTAACTTTACATTCATACTTTAAATGTGTCATGTATTATGCTGGTTTATTATTTTGTTCCATTTATTGTCAGTAATCGTTACCTTCTATTCTGAGTTTAA